GACAGGAATACGGTAACAGAAAGGGGGCCCCACTGAGCTTCCAGGAAGCTGCATGAGGCGGTGGGGGGGGCACCACGGGAGAGGGAGGACTGCCCCCCACATCTCCGTGCAGCTTCTCCCCGGCTGGTGTCCCATAGAGGGCACCCGGCCAGCCACCGCCCGAGAGCAGGTGTGGCTGGCACGCATCTGTCTGGGGACACATGATGGCCAGCGCTGTGACCTGGCCAAAGTGTGACTGTATCTCCTCACTCGTGACCCAGGCACTTCCTGAGTGAGGGCTGGAGCGCCGGCCCGCGGTCTATTCTGGGCACGTCGTGCTTCCTGGCCACGTGCCGATGACACCGGTGGGCGTGGCTGGTAAAGTCTGGGCAGTTCTGACCCAGAGCCCCCCACCGCCCCTCGCTCATCAGGGATGGGAGGGTGAGCTGCCCGGGACCCTGGGCTACACCACACGCTTCACTTTCGCTTCCCAGCATGGACTTGGACTCAGCACCAGAACGGGTCCCTGGACCCGCAGGAAGGCTGGGCGACGGGCTCGGTCAGCCGGCAGGGTCTCCCGAGCTTCACGTGGAAGCAGGAGACGCTCAGCGCCTGCCTCCCAGGACTCACCTCCGTGTCGGTCAGATACCGAGTGGAAACCCGGAGTGAGAGGGAGACCGGAGAGCGAGCCGATGCCCGAGCAGCCCCTCCGTCCCGGGCAGTGAGCACAGAGCGCTGACTCCCCTCGCTCCTGCCCCGCCTTCCCAGTGCGACTGACAAGCCAGAGCCAAATGCATTCACCAAGTGTGGACGAGATTCCCCCCGACAATGGTTGTCTGTTTCGGTTTGGTTTGGTTGTTGCTAAGGTTTGTTGCTACGTGTCCCTCTTTCTGGACAGAAGCGGGAAGTGCCAACACGTCCAGGAAGTGCCCACACGACCGAGGGCTCTGGGCTCCAGGTGCCCCCTGCCGGCACAGTGGCTGGTCCCTACCTGTGACTGCACGTTGGCTCCAACCTGGGCCCCTTGGTAAGAATCCCCATTGAGTGACTGCACGCTCATGAACAAATCTCCAGAGTTTGACATGTTAAAAGAGCTGGAAGAACCTGGAAAGGAAAGGATGAGGCACCTGAATCACAGAAAGGAAAAGGCTCCGCCCGCAACTGACAGCGAGAGGAAGAGCAACATGCAAAGCAACCCCCAAACGAAACTGCACCCAAACCCCTCCCACGCCTGGTTAGTAGCATGGAGAACAGAGCAGACAGAGGTGCAGGGGTCCTCGTGCGGCGGAGCCACAGTGGGCAGGCGCCCCAGGCCGGGCCCCGTAGCAGCTCCCAGCTGGGGGAGGGGCCGGACATTCTTGTCCACTCATCTGGGGCAGTCCGCCTGGGTCAGGGGCAGTCTCCAGGCCTAAGGCCTCTCTCCCCGCCTCTGGGGTCTAGGGTTAGCCAGGGGACCGCACGCGGGAAAACGTGGGCTGGTCCACACCACGTTCGCCCCCGTCTGGAGCACACGAGCTGGGCAGCTGCACCCGAATACGCGGCTGTCGGCCCACCTGCCTGCACTGGGCAGCGCGGGGAGGGGTGCGTGAAGCAGTGCCCTCGCGGGCTGGACCCAGGTGTGACTCCACTGACATTGCTGATTTCTAGAAAGCAGGTGAAGTTCCTTGCTGGGTGGCAAACAGCCCAAGAAGCCTCCGGGGTGGGGAAAACGTGTGAGAATGAGCTACCCTCCCCTGCTACCTGCCGCTATGGAGGAAGAGGAAGCAGGGTTAATGGGCCAGGAACGGGCGAGCATGCGTGAGTATGGAGTGCTGATAACAATAGTAATAATAGCACAGGGCCCGCAGGGGCGCAGTAAGCATCTGCCCAGAGATGGAGCCTTTCCCCGGAGTTTGCCTGGAGGTCCATCCTGGCCCCACCCCGGCTCCCCTGGGAAAAGCTACCCTCACAACCTAAATACCAGGTGTGGGAAGCTTAGGATTACTCTGAAGGCAGCGTGCAGCTCAGCGCATTAGGAAAGGAAGCCCGACGTGCAAGGTGTGGTTAAGTCATGACGTTAGCCTGGAAGAGGAGACGCAGGGCCAGGTCCTTCCACTCTGTCCTTTCCAGCCAGACGCTCTGGAGTCGCCCAACAAGGATTCCTGCCTGAGCTCGGGCTCCTTCCTGGCTCTGCAGGAGCGACCTGCCTCCCGCAGGAGGGCCCGCCACGCGGGGCGGGGCTCCGGTTCTCTCCTGGAGGAGGCCTTCTAGCAGTGCCTCCTACGCTAACTAGCCGTCCTCGCCTCACGCTTCAAGAGCCATGAGAGGAAGCGAGGTGAGCTGAGCACGACCCGCCTGGGACAGCCTCGAGATGGAAAGAGCGTCTCTCTGGGCTTCCGGACGCTCCTCGACACGCAAGGACCCAGCTATTTTGCTGCATGAACTGAGCTCGCGCTCGCTCCCTTCTGGTGGGAAACAGGGAGTTCCTTCTTTGGGGGTGGGCGCCCCGACACTGCCTGGAGAACACTGGCCTTGCCACAGCTCTGCACACACCCTGTGTCGTCTGGCACGTTTCTCTGTGTAGCTCGTCCCAAAGAAATGAGAAAAGATGGGTCTTAGGCAAAATAGGCAACACAGGCCCAAGGTCTGTGCAGTTCCGGCTCTGGCTCCCAACTGGGCTGATGCCCAGGGCCCCAGTCAGCCTCCCGGTGACCTGTCACTCCCAGGCCTCCATGCCCTCGTTATTTCCCTCTTGAATCTTCCTTTTAATCCCAGAAATAGAAGCAAAATAATGAAAGCCACTTTGCCGTAAGTGTGACAACATGCACTCCCATGCCAATGCCATCAGCACCCACGACCAGCCGCTCTGAGAACCAACTGGAGTCGCTCACAGGCTCTCGGCACTCCCGGGAGCGCGCAGTCTGAGCGCGGGGGCGCGACCCTTCCCAGTCAAATAGCAGGAACACTACCCTCCAGATGCTGGCTGGTGGCACACACACCGAGAACCGGGAGAACCCCAAGGCGTACCCAACGCCAGGGCATGTGGCATCCCTGACCACGAAGGCCGGGATGTGCCAGTTACAAGGTTATGCCGCCATCAACACACATGATGTCAGAAATATACGAGCACAGAGTAATGGTAACTGTGCCCGGGCCTCACGGACACAGAGAGGACGGGCGCAGGGCAAGGGCTGGGAGCGGTAACTGCCGGCTCCCGTGTGCGGGGCTGTCTCCTGCACGCGGGCAACACAACCAGGGCTCCTGACCCTGATGTGTATCTGGAGGCGGCGACTGCACTCCGGGACAGAAGGTCACACCACCATCTAAGCAACCGAAGACAGGTCCTTCCTCCTGCGCGGGAGCCCGGAGGGAGCAGGAGGGGCACAGCTCACAGGCCGGCTCCGCGGTGCCGTGGCCTTCCCATTCCACGGAAGCATCTGCTTGTCAGTCACAGGGACCTTACCTGTGGGCGGCGGTAACATCACCACCAATTAGTCCAGCAGCTGCGCACGTGCTGGCCAGCCCACAGGCTCAGACTGGACTTGGGGAGGGGCGGGGTTCCAGCTGCCACCCCGACATCCGGGGCTCGTATGGAGCTACACTGCCTGAAGGAGACCGAGAGGGAGCCTGGGTCCCCGTGGGCGCCACACGTTGGCGCAGGCAGACGTGTGAGTGCAGGGGTCCCGGAGACTGCACGTCTAGAGTCTTCAGGACACGTACATTTGTGCAGGAAAAAGAAAACCAATCGACTTCATCACCCAAAAAAGAGAATGCTAATGATGAAATCGCCATGCTGCACGGGGTTTCCGGCCCCGGCACCGCTGTCCTCTTGGCCCCAGTCTTCCGGTGGGAACGTGTTACGGACTTGTACGGCGGAATGATCACCCACGTGCCTGGCCTCTCCACCCTCCCAAACGGGGGCAGCGCCAAGTGCCTGCAGACAGTCCCGCGTGTCCCTGGGACGCAAGCTCCCTGCTGAGCGTGGTGACAGGATAGACGTGCTGTCCTCCCGGAGGAGCTCAGCGTGGGGAGGAGCCCTGCGCGTTCTCTCCACTGCGTCTGTGTGAAGTAGCGGCAGGGAGGTCGGCCTCTGTTTGCAGACAGAGGAGGGGCCGCCCGTCAGGCCCCACACCAGGGGCGGCTCGAGGAAGGCTGAGTGTCTCCGCCGGCCTCTCTGTTCTCCATGCCTCCTCCTCCTCCCAATTAGAACTCCCTGCTACTTCCTGCTCAGGGGAAAGGTTTTCTGGCTGCTGGGAACCCCACGGCAGGTGTGGGTGGAGGTTCTGAGCCCCAGTTCCGAGAGGCTGTGTTGTTCTCCACTGAGACGTGAAGGGGAGGAACACAAGAAGCGAGGACACAACAGAACCACCAACTGGGCAGAGTCTTCCACTTGGTCTTGGAACACAAATGACAAGGGTTCCGGGGGTTCCTGGGCCTGCCAGTCACCCTCCCTGGGCTCGTGGCCTTCTCTCAGGGAGCCAGGGTCCAGGCTTTGATGTGACAATCCTCCACCAACCCCCAAAGCACCAGCCTCCTATTTCCGGGTGGAATGCGAACATGAACCAGGGCTCCTACTAAGTAAACGGGGCCAGAGGGCGGCCTGCCACATGGGGCCTGCCGCTGAGCAGAAAGGCTGACACCTGGGCGTGCCTCGCTGGTCACAGATCCGGATCCCATGCTAATGTCGGTGCTGCCACCGTGGACACAGGCAAAGCACAGCCCATTTCTTCTCTCCTGGATGCGATAACATCCTCCAAGCTTCCCAGAAGACGATCTACCTCCCCAAAGGGCCCCCTTTATCCAGAGATCAACGCTTCCTGTGATCTCATCAACCATGAGTCGTGGGGACTGTCCCTCAAGGTCTTCCCAGAAGAATTTTGGACCCAGGGCTGTAATTATTACTTCAATGGGCCCCATTTTTGCATTCTGTTTTTGTTTTACATTTTCTTTCTTCCTTCTATTCTTCCTCTTTGCTGCATCCATGTTGCCAACTCTGCTGGTACAAAATATGACATTTGCCAAGCATGCTCACTAATCTCTAGATGCTCACTAATCCGCCCCAGGTCCCAGTTTTAAGTGATCTTTATGAAATATACTTAAGGAAACAGACGTGCATCTGTCAGCCAACAGGGATACTCAGAAGCGGCTGCATAGCAGGAGGAAGAGCAGCTCTGGAGGGAGCCTCGGGGAGCCGTGCTGGCCCGGCGGCCTCCTTGCAGGAGGAACGCGGATTTGCAGCGAGCAAACCTCCGACACCGCTGCCGCCTCGACAGGGACCAGAACGCTCCAGGGTTCCGGAGCAGGAGCTTCCAACTCAGCCAAACACAGTTCCAGATTCCCTTTTGTTTAAACCTGGCGTCTGCTTTCACGGTCACTTATGCTTTAGACTCATCGCAGAGCTGACACAGCATTAGAAACAGCCTGTGACGGCTCGGCCACGTCCGCGTTCTGCCTTGCCCTGTGGGCGATGTGGGCTGCTCGGAGAGCCCAAGAGCGCAGACAAGCCGCCCGTGTCTCCTGTTGACGCGTGTCCTTTAGGAGTCCCGCTGCTGCACACACCGCACATTCCCTTTTCTCTGCTTTAGAGAAAGCGCACGCAGGGCTCCTCTACACGTTATTTCCAACGACTTCAGAACAACTGGAGGGCTTGGCTCAGGTTTCCTGAAATCATTCACTTTGTGCTCAGAATAGTCACATGAAGTTGGAGCCACCAGAAACACTTCTCAGGAAACTGTAATCAGTGACATTCCGAGAAGCCAGAGGCTCCTCCCACCCAGGCAGGGGTTCGTGCTGCCTGCTCTCTCTTCCCTCCCTCAGGGAGGAGGAAAAGTCACGGAGTAGTGATGAGGGGAGTCTGCAGGGCCTGTCCGTCCGAGGACGCGCCATGAATCACGCCACCATCTGCGGGGCAGATCTACGGGAGAGGAAAGCCGTTTCCACCTCTGCTTTGCGTTATGATAACCTTTGTGGAGTGCGGAGTGCGCTTTGCTGACAAACTGTCCTTCTCCCAAAGAGGCCTCGAACCGCCTGCTCGCGGTGCACGCCCACCGGGTCGCTGGGTCTGACACGCTCCATCACGGGCCAGTGGGGCAGGAGGAAGCTCTGGTTCTTAACCTGTTGGCCTCGATCCTCAGTCTTACACCACAACGGGGAGAAGGAAACACACAGAACCTCCACAGCACGTACGCTCCGCGCCCCCTCCTGGGGTGCTGGGAGAAACAGCTGGGCAGATGCTGTGCCTCCCCACGCCAGTCTGCAGAGCCCAGGTCCCTCCATAGTGGGTTCCGTTTAAAGAAAGGGCATGGCCCCGAGATGTGGAGAACCTTATGGCAATAGATCTGTGCGTCCAGGGGCCTCCTGTCTCCAAGAACAACCGCCACAGCTGGGAGGGGACCTTAGTGGACAAGCAAGCTTTGGAGTCAGAGATACCATGTGCCCCCAGAAAGGCTGGGCGTTAGATTTTCAATATTAAGAGCTCACATATTTAAATGTGCGACTCTTTAAAATTGGAGGCATCGATTTTCTCACATGTGCACCCCCAGCCATGGGGTAAACTGTCATAATCTAAGGTCAAATTCATTTCATTAGGAAAATTTCTGGTTTTTCCCTTAGGGAAAAAGCACCAACATATCCTCCACAGCACACAAACACTAAGGTTACAGTTTATGCATTCTGACTATGTTTTCTCCGCAGGGGCAAGTGCAGACTGGATGAGAGACAGCACACCCCAAAATGTAAGTTGTGAGCCTAAACTCTGGTGCATAAAACCAGGAACACAGCACAGGACTGAGCATAACGTGAAGACTGAAACCTGAATCATCTGAATCAATGACTGGCAATTTCCTTTTGTAGTTTACATATAGAAACCCAACAAAACAAAATGGCAAAGAATAACAACTATCAGAAGTATAGAGATATTACAGTCTGACTTTGCAGAACCGAACACCCACTGAGATGTTGGCTGGAAGAGTGAATATTCACACGTGGAGCCGTGCTCGTAGGTGACCCAGCCAGTATGTGATGCAGCAAAGGGACAAGTGTCAAGTTCCATGAAACAGACCCAGGGCTAAGACCCGGGACCATGTCCACGTACCCACGTAGCCATCGAGCTTCCTCCCAGCATCTCTGAAGGGAGAACGTGGCGTCACCTCCTCAAAACCAACCGATTTACCTTAAACCAGAGGTCCTCAAACTTTTTAAACAGGGGGCCAGTTCACTGTCCCTCAGACATTCCACACATGCGCACTGCGGGCCCGGGTCGAGTCGGCTGCTAAGCAGGACAGTCAGCAGCGGCAAAAACACCCAGTGGGCCGGATAAATGTTTTTGGCCGGCCGCATGTGGCCCGCGGGCCGTAGTTTGAGGACCCCTGCCTTAAACAGACACACCTGTGCTCACCTCCAGGCAAGCCCTTCGTGAAAACAGCGGAACACATCACTCTTTGGAAATGAAAGGGAAACCCCTCAGGGGCACTGACACCAAAGGACACGCAGATTCATAAACCGAGAAACCTGAAGGTTTGAAGGAAACCCCGATGCAGAAAAAGCAAGTATAAACACGGAGCCCAGTCCCCCCAAATCAAAGAGGAAACTAACCAGCCGAGTTGGGAGTTGAGGGTGAGTTAGCCTGGCTTCCGTGGGCTGACACATTGGTGGCAGTGACAGCCGTTTTGGCAGCATAAATATTGGCTTCCTCTTGAAATTTACCTATGTTCTTCTTGTACCGGATTCGCTTATTTCCAAACCAGTTTGATACCTAGAGCGTGTGAGAGAAGAGGAGAAGGTTAGCATTTCCTCCTCCACACAGGGCCATTGTGAGGGGGAGGGGAAGCCGAAGAGGTGGGTGGGGGGATTCTCCAGCTAAGATTTCACAACCTTGAGGAAAAGGTCTGAAGTTAGAGTCGAAAGCAGCAACGGTATAACACGAGACTCTCTCGCTGAACAACACAATTCACACAACCACAGCGACAAAACCCCCAGAAGGAGCCACTCTTTAAACCAGGACCCTCTCAGGCCGGGCAAGCGTCGGGAATTTGCTGACCTGTTAAGTATGACATTAAAACAAAATGCTTTTAAAAAATAAGTGTAGTTTTGGCCCTGGCTGGTGTGGCTCAGTTGGTTGAGCGTGTCTTGGGCACTGAGAGGTCGCCGGTTGGATTCCTGGTTAGGGTACATGCCTGGGTTTGGGGCTCCATCTCCAGTAGGGGGCAACTGATCAATGATTCTCTCATCAATGTTTCTCTCTCTCTCTCTCTCTAAAATAAAATAAAAACATATTTTTAAAAAATTGAAATAAAATAAAGAACAATGAGTGCAGTGTTGGCAAGAATTTTCTTTGTCATAGCAATGCTCAGGCTGACTTTGGGCAGTAAACATACACTGACCTTTAAATATCCATGTAAATCTAGGTCAACAATGATGGGTTAAATGCAGACTCTTCGGGGTTAGGTAACTTTCATGTGGACTGGATGCTTAGCCGTGGTGCTAAGACCGTGTCAGCATCCGTGGGGTCAGGCCCACAGGCTTCGCTGTGTGTGCCAGGCCCGCCCGCTCGACCTGGGGAGAAACTGGGGCTCCAGGCTCCCGCGTGCAAGCCAACACTCAGAATAAGCCTGGTTTCCGTTCGCTGTGAATTCAGTCCCTTGGCGAGGCTCACAGCAGCTGTCCCGGCCTCTGCCAGACACAATTGGGGCAGCGCCCGCGAGCCTCCCTCCCCGATCCCGGCCTAGGAAGGCGCGTGTATGCCCCAGATTCCAGATGTGGCTTAGCACTAAAATGCCGGGGCTTACGTAACACAAAGCGGACTCTGAGCCTGGCGGGGGCGGGCAGTGCTCCTGCCCCTCGGCACACACCGCGTCTGTGCCGAAGGCGGACAAAGGGAATTCTTGCAAACGACACTGACTTTAGAATACGTGGGGACAGTTCCCTTCTAGGGGTGAACAGCCGAACGGGAGGGAAGGTGCCAGCTCCGTCTGGAATGCCTGGTGGCCCACCAGGGGCTGTCGCACGCCCTGGGCAACACATAGAACCCGTGTCTCATTAATGACCTCACTGCTCAGCATCATGGCCTGAGGTCTGACAGGCAGTCCCGGGCCGGTGGAGCCCTAGCTCCTCTGGAGAGACTCGGAGGGCGCAGTGAACCTGTGACACCCCCAGAGCCTGTGGGCACAGCATGGAGAGTCCCCGTGAAGCTGGCACTCCGGGGGAGCAGGTATGTCTGCGGCCGTGAACGTGGACGAGGTCCCTGAGCATGCAGAACAGTGCTCGCCAAGCCAAGGGCATGGAGAGCTGCTGAAACAGACT